TTATCAGTATTCAGTCATCAGTCAAAAATCTTCCTGGATTCTCTTTATTATCAAAATAGTCTCCATCAAATCTTTTGTCCAGTTCAGATGATTAAATGCTGCTTGATTGGGAGAGATGTGTCACGTTCGGACTATTTCATGTACTTAACGACATGTTTTCAACACTTGAAGCTTTCATATGCTCATTTGAATTGGCTCTGTCTCCAGTATTCAGTCATCAGTCAAAAATCTTCCTGGATTCTCTTTATTATCAAAATAGTCTCCATCAAATCTTTTGTCCAGTTCAGATGATTAAATGCTGCTTGATTGGGAGAGATGTGTCACGTTCGGACTATTTCATGTACTTAACGACATGTTTTCAACACTTGAAGCTTTCATATGCTCATTTGAATTGGCTCTGTCTCCTGTAGGGCAGCTGGTGGAATTCTTAAAGAAAGTCGAATCCAAAGGGCTCCTCTCTTGTGATACTGTTTTGAAGATTTTTTATCAGACCTGCAGAGCAGTGCAACATATGCATAAACAGAAACCACCTATTATTCATAGAGACTTAAAGGTACAGTATAGAATTGAAGTGTCTGTGACACACAAAACCAGACTTCTGGGGTGGACTACAAAGTTGATGCTGTAGGGCTAATGAACTTGACAAACTTGAATATACAGCATTTCAAATAGCGGTATTAGTATATAGTCACTTGCTGGGAGTGAAGGACATCACTACATGGCTACTGTTTAGACTGTATCCTTTGTCTGTATTTTCGGTGCTGAAATCCTTGTTGAATATCCTGTTAGATAATTTCAGAGCTGAAACTGAAACCGGGTAGTCCATTTCCCACTCTTAATTTAATCTGAGAAATACGGAGCCTCTTCAGTCCAGCACCCTCAGGACCTGACTGGTGCCGATTTAGAGCATTTTCTATACCACGGGAGGTCAGTATTATGTAGCAGCATTACCAGCACTGCCACTGCTCACTGGGCTCTTAGAAGACATGTAGGGATAAATTGGAGCTACATAACAGCACAGAACACTGAGAGCCAGGACCATAAGCCTGTCACTTACTAATATAGAATGTTAAGTGGTCCCCTCTGACACGGGATACCATGTACTGCACAATACTAATGTTTTAAATAAATGTTTACATTTTCTGGACGTGATTTACAAGTGCACATAAGCTGCAGCCTGCATAAATGTGTGCCGCTTCTTCAAGTGGTTAACCTCCCTTCGTGTGCAGGTGGAGAACATGCTGATTAGTAACCAGGGGACAATTAAGCTGTGTGACTTTGGCAGCGCTACAACTATCGCGTATTATCCTGATTACAGCTGGACAGCACAGAAGAGAGCAATAGTGGAAGAGGAGGTGAGAAACGTGACCTGCAGCTAATGGCAAGATACTGGGTTCATTCTATTGCTGCGGCTCTGTGGGATTCAGCACCCAAGTTAACCTGAGCTTTGACTGTTCTAAGACAATCGAGTTCCTTTCAGATGGGAAACGGTTCACAAGGCTATGGTTCTAGTCAGCGCTGGCTGCATTGTACACATGCTGTCTGCCGTTCAAGCAAAACCGTGTGGGGTCTTAAACTGCAGTCCAGAGCACCCATCCTGATCAGTGCCCTGCTAGTCTTTGATGTGGAGAAATAAAATATAAACACAGTGAAACTTGACACAATGTGCAGGGTAGCTTTTAATGACCTTTTCACATGAAAAGGCAGAGGAGTAAGGATTCCACAGCTGTTTTCTGCTAATGTGAATTTTTCAGTCTGCAGAAAAATAGTCAGTTGTACCCACGTGATTCTGATCTTGCTTGCTTGCTAGAAGATTTGCCCAGCATTGCTTGGGTCCTTATTGTTTTGTTTTTTTAAATAAAATGTCCCTGCTTCTTTTGAATCATTGCTCTGGGGTGGGGCAGGGGATGCAGGGTGCCCCGGGCACTCTCACTGCAGCAGCTTGGGGCCAGGTGAGAAGCACCTCTCCACGGCCACTGTAGCTCCAGCAGGCACAGAGGGACAGGTGCATGTCCCCCGGCTGGGGCAGGTCCATGTTTTTCTTCCCCCTGCGCTCCCCAGCCAGAGTGAGGAATGCAGCCAACTGTCCGCTTTCCCCTCTCTCCCTGACCAAGGGAACTAGCCAACAATGTCCTCTACCAATTGGGATTGGGGAGGGTTAGCTCACTGCAAATGGCACCTGTGGCTGGTGGGAGGCTCAGGGCTGGAGCTATCCTGGTATGGTGAGAGGCGGGGGGGAGAGCACCCCCACCCAGCCTGCCTGCCCCTTACCTGCCTGGTGATGTCTTCTCTATGGTTTTATGAGAAGCAGTCCCACCCCAGGCATGTCCTATTTTCCTGGCACAACCAAACCCTGGCCTTGCTTGAAGTTTATGCTAAGAGGAAGTGTGTACTGAATTTGGTGGTCCTGGCTCTTTGCCATTTAGGAGTTCTTGAATAGACAGACAGATTCTCTCAAGTATAAGTAGATTCCTTTAGCTGCTAAAATCAGAGATTGCTTTTAAAGCTGTATTGGGTGTCATGTGATAATGCAGTAGGTCTGTTGAACAGATCTTGGCCTAGACATGATTGCTGAACGCTTAGGACAGTTGTAACGGTGTTGGCATGTTCTCCCTGTCTCTCAAAATGAATTTGTCCATTGAGCTGGTTGAGTGCTAGGAATGCTGACAAACCCTAATGCGTGACAGAGGGGTAGCCGTGTTAGTCTGAATCTGCAAGAACAACAAGAAGTCCTGCAGCACCTTAGAGACTAACAGATATACTGGAGCATAAGCTTTCATGGGCAAAGACCCACGTCGTCAGATGCATCTGATGAAATGGGTCTTTGCCCACGAAAGCTTATGCTCCAATAAATCTGTTAGTCTCTAAGGTGCCGCAGGACTTCTTGTTCTTGAAAACTCTAATGCAGCAGACAACGATGGATTTACTTTAAATTATTTTTCCGCCCCTTCTAAGTCAAGTCTATGGCGAAAGTTGATATTGACACTCAAACAAAATCCATGAACTTATTAATGTATGTGCAGTGCAGTCTCTCAGAATAGATTTTCTTTTATTTTGGCCCTGAGTACTAGCAGAATTATGCCTGCTTGTTTCTGTTCACCTCCTCCATTTGGGAATCATGAACTCTGAGACCTGTCTGCTGGCTCTCTGGGAAGAGCAGATGGTGCCATGCGGTTGGACAGCTTCTTACTTGGGGCAGAGAGAAGAAGGCACAAAGCAGAATCCTGCCTCAGGATGTGTCCTAAGAGCATGATAAACCTGTTCCTTATGTCTCTGGTTCACAAAAATTCTCCCCTGCTGAGAGGAGGCAGCCTGCATTTTCCTTGCCATGTGGCCTGAGGGGACTACTGCAACAGGTGCTTGTGAATGACTGTTAGTCCAGGAGTGGGGAACCTTTTTTGGGTCGGGCGCTGCTGACCCACAGAAAAACTTGTTATATGATATGAATGGAGATTGCCTATCTCCTAGAACTGGAAGGGACCTTGAAAGATCATTGCTGGGGGCTGCACACAAATGAGAAGCAAAAAAACAAACGAATAAAGAAACCCAAACTAGAAAGACACTCCCCACATTCCCTTGCTTCATCATCTTTTACTCTTGTTTCTGCAGATTACCAGAAATACAACACCAATGTATAGGACTCCAGAAATGATAGACTTGTATTCAAACTTTCCAATCGGTGAAAAACAGGATATATGGGTAGGAACTTCTTTTCTCTCTCTCTCTCTCTCTCTCTCTCTCTCTCTGTAATGTCTATTAGATGTCATAGTCCAATAGTTTCTGTATTTCATCAGATTTGTGGTGTTTAAACTAAATGTGCCTGTGCTGTTGTATCGGAATATAAAAGCAGTATGAATTGGTGGCATTGTTTGATCTTAAAACCAACTCAGCCATCTGTATCTGACACGTTTCATGCAAAAAAAGCTTAAATTAGTCTGAATTTTAAATCTTAATTTGGGCTCACCTGTGGCATAGACCACAATAATTTTGTTTCATTTCAATACCTTGAATGGCACGTGTGTTCCAACAACTTAGCTTCTTCTCTGGAGGCCTGGACAGGGCTTTCTTGGAGCCCATAACCACATCTCATGATTAGATTGAGGTTGCCAAGACACACAACGTTGACTTTGCTCATTCACAGTCCAGGGATTCAAATCCCTGTCTCAGAGCAGTAAATGCAGGAACAAGCTAAGTGTTGATACCTCAGAACTCCTGCTTGCAGAGAAAGCATGTGTGCTTCTGAGGCAGCTAAGTGGCATGGCAAAGAGTAGTGGCAAATGAGTAACTCTCCCTGGAAGGTTTGTGGTTACATTTGAAGAGGAATATTTACATTCCCACTGCTGCTTCAGTTAACTCTGTCAGTGATGTGTCTTTGGGCCCCCCCGATGTTATACATTAGTATTTTTCAGAGTATTGGATATTTGTTATCAATGCCCATATTTTATTTGAAATCTTGGTGTTGTGCGTGAGTTGCATGATGTGCTATTTACGCAATGGGCGGTGCTGTTAGGCACAATCTTCAGTATCTTGCATGAACAGAGGCACCATGAAACATCAGAATGAATGTGCATGAGAAGTACAAAGAAAGGACCAAATCCTTTAAGTAGGAGTGACTTGCATAGAAACTATGAATCTCAGATTTGGCTCATAGCTTATGAAATAGAACTAATTTCTTTGGAGCACTTACTTTTAAAAACCCTTGTGCTACACTTGGTTACATCTATAATAAAGGTGTTGATATCTATATATTATATACCAGTCTTATAATGTAAATCCTCCAACCTGGAAGGAATTATAAAATAAAAAAACTCAAACTGAAGAAACTGGTAGACTTTCAATCATAATGGCGAATTGGTAGCATGGTCTGCATATTTCTAGAAACTAAAGCTTTGTCTGCATAGACGAGACTTGTCATTAATCTTTGATCTTAAAGAATGAAACTTCAAGTATTTTAATTACTTTAGAAAGGAAGGGTGGCATGCAGCTGAAAAATTAATAATGTTGGCTTCTATGACTAAGCAATTTGCAGTTGAATTATTTAATATATAGTAAAATTATTTCAGATTTGAACTTGGTCAGAGTTGTTTCAGTACATAATAAGTTTCATATCTAAAATTAAACTTTTATGTTTTCTTCAGCGCCTGAAATACTGACTTTTCTGTAATGCTTTCTTTTACTTCTGCATAGGCCTTGGGCTGTATCCTGTATTTATTGTGCTTTAGGCAACATCCATTTGAAGATGGGGCTAAGCTTCGCATAGTCAATGGGAAATACTCCATTCCTCAGAATGACACCCGATATACTGTGTTCCATGATCTCATTCGTAAGTTTAAAATCTGGGTTGTTTACTTATTCTGATGTCTTTATGCATGGAACATCTTTCACCCTTTAAAACATTAGGTACAGTGGGATTAAGCAACCACAATTTGCAGTTCCATTGTAGGTCAGCTTTGTAAACCATTTGACAGTGACTAGTTTAATTTTAGTTATTAGACATCAATATGCAGAACTTTAAGACTTTTCTATGTTCAGTTAAAAGCTGGGGGGGGGGTTGTTTGTTTGTTTGTTTTTTGAGAGCTAACATCAGTTTTTCACTACTTTTTCAGTGCTTAATCTTGATTAGGATTTTGATAAATTGTCTGGAAATATTTTGCATTTGGGCTCTGATCGCTTAAATTTGAGAAACTTTTTGTTGCATTAAAGTTCAAAACAACAGTGGAACTACTACAGTGAGTTGTGAAAATTCTGATGATGTGGGGTGGGTTCTAAGTTGCCTTTAAACATTTCTTCAGGTGGTGCTCTTGTATTTTTTTTATAGGATCACCTTGACTTATAGCTAGAATCCTTCTTTCTACATAGATACCTGTTCAAGGCAAACAATACCTGGGCACAACTTCACTGTTTACCTATTTTTTCGGCACACTGTGATTGGTGGTCATGCTGCTTGTGCATCTACTGAGTAAAGTACAGATTTGTGCCATCAGAAAAAGTCTGTTGAAATGTCTAAATTTTTTCAGGTTCCTCTTTGAAGGTGAACCCAGATGAGAGGTTGTCAATCACTGAACTTGTGAATCAGCTACAGGAAATTGCAGCTGCCAGGAATGTGAACCCTAAATCTCCTATCACAGAGGTACTGGCATGTTACAAAGAGTATAATCATTCTTTTCCCCACTTTCAGTCAGTAGTGACTTGGAAACAGCTGCCAAGATGGTTGTGGGGAGATTTTTGAATGAGTTTAAGGGATTTGGATGCCCCATTTCAGTAGACGTTTGGATGCATAACTCACAATAGAGTGAAAAATCCTAGCTCTGTGCTCTCACTCATGCCAATATGTTAAAAGGAAGCCAGTGGTGGTTCTTCCTGCTTCTTGGCAGACTCCTGGAAGCATCTTCATTTCAACAGCATCCCTTTTGGAGGTAGAACTTCAATGTCACACAACAGATTTGATTGAAACTGAGCTGAAAGGTGCTGAGTTTGATATGCGACACTAATTATGGGCCTACACCAATTCGCAAACTAGTGCAGTTAATGCAAATGCCTGTGTGGGATTCTGAGTTTGGTTTAAAGGTTGCTGATGTCAGCTTCTGAAATTTGACTTGGGAGTGTCCTTTTGTGCAGATGTAAGTAAATCTATATAAAATCCTACCTTCAGCTGAACTGGTAGCGCTCTGGTAGCAGACAGGCCATTGGAACTTTTGTGGTTTCTGCTGCTTTCTGTAAAACAAAACCGTAAACTTGTGGAGTGGAAAGAAGAATCCACGCAGACCCTTGCATTAGTTTTACAGGACTGGTTTAACCAAAGCCAGGTCTACGCTAGAAGTGCTACATGGTCACAGCTGCAGTGCACCAGGGGAAGTCGCTCTATGCAGATGGGAGAGCGTTTTCCTGTCTGCATAATTCACTCCATCTTTGTGAGAGGGAGAAGCTATGTTGGTGGGAGAGCATCTCCTGCTGATATAGTGCCAGTGTGGACAACACTTATTTTCTCTGTAACTTGTGTTGTTCAGGAGAAAGTCTCTCCCCCCCCCACTGAGCAAGTTAAATTAGATTGGCTTAAGCAATAGTGTAGATGTACTGTTGTATTAATCAGATTCTGCTGCAGGGGCTCTTGTTTGTCCTTAACTTTTGGTTGGAAAGCCCTTTCCTGTCTCCTACTCTTTGGGGTTAGCTTACCCAAGAAAATATTGTTTTACTGGCTACAGTTATGTTCCTGTTTGCCAGTTTACACTTGGAAAGTTAGGGATTGGATCCAAAAGAGTGTGAGGTAGCAGCTGCTTGTGAGTTCAGATTTCTAACTTTGGTAACGCTGTGTTTTCTACTTCGCCCTTCCTGCCAAGGAAACTGGCTGCAGCCGGGCTACCTCTTTGTGCCTCCTGTGGTGATTCCCTTTCTTCTTTGAGAACTGCTTGTTGTTTTCAACGTTATGCCCTTTTCTATCTTCTGTTTTTAACTAGTCTCTTTTGGTGTTTGTGGCCGTGTTTGCATTCATGTGTTTGCCTCTGTTTCTGTCTAGGTGAGTGGCTCATCCAAGCATAATTTGGATGTTAGGCATGTGTCCCCAAATGTTAAGTGCCTTGCTCCCTGGAGGGCATATCCTTCTTGTCAACCCTGAAACTCACTATTACGATGGTAGCCAGCCAGAGTGCATTTTGTCTGGGTTCCTCCTTGCAGTACAGCGAGCTAAATGAAGCATGTAATGTGGAATACAGGAGCTTGTCTTCTCGTGGTCATACTTGTTTATCGATGTTCTCAGTAGTAGAGGAATCGGGGAGAAGGAAACTCTGGAAGCTTCTGCACACTTGTAAAGCCATTATGCAACCAGGAGTAGGGTTCTGCTCAAGTGCCCCTGAGTTATAACTCTGTCATTCGTTGCCTCTCCTTCACTGTGGAGCTGAGATACTCAGACTGAAGCTTGGGAACTACAAGTGGCTTCTTTGTGTTTCCTGCGGCTCTTTGCAGCACGTGATATTAAAACACATTGATTTAATTAACCACCAGCCAGGGTGCCTATTCTATATTATTAACTGAGACGTAAAAGGAAAGGCTTTGTTGTAAAAGAAAGATGAGGCCTTATGGATACTGTTAGTTCTGGTTTAGAAAAATTAGAGATGGGTTTATTCAGACGGTTGCAAGTCAGCAGACTTACTGCTAATGTGTGGTGTATCAGTATTTCAGCAATGCAGCTGGGAGATTTTCCTACAAAGTTCTTTCTGACGGTTGGCTACCAAGAACCCAATACTCCTCTCATTCAACCTAAAGTTTTACTATGGACTTGGAGCAGGAACAATGTACCTGAGCAGCCAGAAGAACAATGCATGCACCCAGAAAAACCTGGCCTTAGAGAAGAGCTAAAGAATAATGTGCTGGCTTCTCATGGTTCCTAATGCACTGAAACCAAACAAGTGAAACTTTTGTCTTTCAGTAGTTAAACAGCCATTCAGAGCTAAGCAGCGAGGACTAGGCAACGTAACTTTTGTAACTGTCCTTGGACAATGCTGTGTTAATGTACAAATTAAAAAAAACCAAACTCAATGGTTTTGACTCTCTGCAGCTCTTGGAGCAAAATGGAGGCTATGGAAACAACGCTGTGCCTAGAACTTCTCCGAGTTTGGTGCCACAGAGCTCCAAGCCCGCAGGACAGCTCAACAATATGTACAATGCAGGTATGTACAGTTACAGTCATTTCTGTAGATACCATCTGCATACAAGGTAGATATCTTAGTGGTGTGGGTGAACTGCAGGTTGGGGTTGGATTTTTAAATGAACATACGTCGTGGAAATGTTGACTTCTCTTGAATGATATTGCTAGTAAGTGTCTTTATAAAAACCATTTAGCATAAGTAAATTGTTATATTTAAATACACTTGTATAGTTCTTATGAAGGACTTCACATGTGTTGATTGATTCTTCAGAATAGACTTCATATTTATATGTAAAAAATGTACTCCTTACATTCTTCTCACATAAACAGAGAAGACTCAGTTTGCTAACGTGCAACAGAGGATGCCAAATGGCATTGTTGACCTGTGAAAGATGACAACTAGATGAGACAACTAGATGAAAATGACTTATCTGCACAATGAATATCAGTTTATAAAAATAATAGCAGCGAAGGAAAAAGCAACACTTACAAAAGTCATATAAAATTTGGAACATGCTATAAGCACATAAAATAGATTGGTAACGGATTGGAAATGGTGGGTTTTTTTTCAAAATAAACTCAAATAGAAACCTCCACTTCAGAAATATATTATGTTGAGTACAGACAATTGCTTACTATACTTTGAATAACTGAAGATCAACTAATCTGTTAAGTGATCTTACTCAAAATACAGAGCCATCTTGTAATGCACAGAAGTTGCTCAAATTTGAATTCATATCCAGAGCAGGTGGATTGAGACATTTTTGAGAGAAGTGTCATCACATTGCATTACGTATTCCATGTTTTAAAAGATTGCAAATATTCTGCGTGTTTAATTTTATTGTAATTGGGTACTGAAACAAGTTTGGCTTTTGAAACTTTATCAAAGGGCAAAGTTAGGGGGCATGCAAAAACATCTTTGAGTTGGATTAGCTCAGATTATAAATGTCTGAATAGAAATACAGTCAGCTTTAAAACTTACATTACCTAATGCAATCATATCATATTAGCTTACTTTATTTTTAGATGTTTTCTGTTTCTCAAATTTTATGTATTCCATTTGAAATAAAGCAGATGGGGCTTGGTCATCATAATAAAGTAACATGTTTAAGATCAATTTGATTTGAAAATGACATACTCATCTCAAGTGAGTTTATAAGTTGGTTTAAATGTCTGTGTTTCAGAGAGTTGTTTAGTGAGTCACAAATATTTAAACATTTAATTTAGTAAAGAAAGCCAAGTGAACTTTTTTAGTGAAATAAGGTGGGTGAGATGTAAAACCTTTGTATGGGGCCAGCTTCTGTTGGTGAAAGAGACAAGCTTTTGAGTTTACACGATTTTCAAGCTAACCACATATACCTTGTCTCTAATATCCTGCGACTCCCTTTTTTGTGTTCTGTATATAGATCCTTGCTAACTGAAATAGCCGTTCCTGTACCATTTCACAGCTAAATATTACATTGATAACTTCTCGAGCATAAACGTTTCAGAGAACTTGATATATTTCACCTAAAGCGAAAGACTGGCAAAGTGTTAATAATTTGACTTCATGCACATTTTTCTCTTCCTTGATTTCAGTTACATTAATATTTGAATATATACTTTCACAAAAAGTATCTGAAGGGGAAACTTTTAAAATGAGGTACATTTATACTGCCAATAATATCACTCAGTAATACTGTCCATGCTTCATTCTCTGTGAGGTGACTCTTGCTTCCTAAGAGGATTTTGTTTTCAAATGCGTGTCTGGCCATCTGGCTCACGCAGGGTCAAAGAGCACTATTTCATGTATTCAGCAGTAATATTAGCAGATATTCTCCAGCAGCTGTTAACAGGAAATGTTAGTATTCCTGATGATACATGCAATTTTCCAAGGTAAAACCAGAAATGGCTGTAAAATGACTTAATGCCTTCAAGTAAGCTTAGCAGTGACATACTGCATATCAGGATGATGGCACCAAACGGAAAGGCAGCATGCTGCAATTTAAACAGTGAAATGACAGAAATGCATATAGCCAGGCACTTGGTAGTCTGTCTTTGCTTCATAAAGAGATGCAGAATGATTTGTTACCTGTTGTATAAATATAACACCTGTAAACTGTTTTGGTTTACCACCGTATCATGTGGGGTATATAGAAAAATGCTGTTCTGCTGTTTGTCCTGCAGAAGTTGAAAGCTTCATTCTGGGTCTGAGCATGACGACAAGGCTGATCCTATTTTTGTATGTTGAGAGTAGCTGGCAGTTGTTTGATTTTTGGCATGTAAAGAGCACAGTTGTATTACATTCCTTGCTTTGTTTGAAGTTGAAATTTTTAATTTGCATTTGAATTTTAGGCCTGACAGTTGCAGAGGTCGACCAGTCTTATGGAGGGTTCTTTGATATTCTCAGAGGTGGAACAGAGCGTTTTTTCACAAACATCAAGGATACGTCTTCTAAAGTTATTCAGTCTGTGGCCAAGTAAGTAGCAAGAACTTCTGTGGTGGTAGTTTCTAAACGGGAAGATCAGAAATTTCCTGTTGGAAAGTACAGAATGCATTCTAGGCAAGTCGCATGTAAGGTGGTGGGTTCCCTCCCCCCCCCCCCGGCAGTGGTGCCTAAATGGAAGCTTCTAAATCCATAGTTTAACTCTAGTCATCCATTTTTTAAAATTTTGGCCTGAAGTTTGTGCCTCTGTTCCCCGTCTGTAAGTAGGAATGTTTTCCTGCCTCACGGTGTAGCAAAGTGCGAGAGGCGCTGAGATAGTACAGTGAAGAGCGTATGAAGAATACTATTAGAATAAAAAAGTTTAATGTTCTGTGTACATGAGAGAGCAGTAGTAAAATGAACAAAGCCTATTGAGATTTTGCTTTGCTATTCACCTTTCAGAGGACACCATTAGGTGTCTTTGCCCCCAAAATAGTTTGTGTATGATTTGAAAATGAAGTTTAAATTAAAATAAATGTGCTAGGGATTTCTGTCCCAATCTACCCAAAACAATGTAATGCATAGGAATTTAAGTCTTTCCCCATCAGTTTCTCTTCATTGGGCCCAGTTAATTGAAAAATTGAATCAGGCCAGTCCTAAAAGAGATCCCTGCAGGTATCCTTCCTAGATAGCTATCCCAACTTGGCATGGAACATTGATGTAGATCTTGTTTTTCATAGTCTTTCCACAAGTTTTCAGCCCAGGCAAAAGTGTTGATATCCAAGCCATCAGATTTAACTTTCTTAGATTTTGCAGCAGTTCTCTCTCTACAGATTATCTAACATATTAAAGATGTTTTCATTAAGAAAACAGTCACCGGTATTCACTAGTTATAAAAGAATAAAACAAAATTAAAATTCAATTAATTCTTTTTTTCTCAGTCTTGTATTTAAACAGTGATTCTATTCTGTCTATGCTGATTAAGTCAATATAACCAAGCATATTTTCACTTGTGAGTTGCTTCATGGATGCTTAAAGTTTATAACTGCATAAGTATTCCGCTGTATATTGCATTTGCTCTCTATTAAATATGATGATGCATGTCATAGAGATGGTGGGTAAGGTAATATCTTTTACTGGACCAACATGTCATGGAATCATGGAAAAGACCTTTTCAGTCATCAGTGAATAATTTTGCATTATCTATAAGGTTGACAAAAAATGATTCTTATGCTATATATAATTCTAGGAAGCAAAAAGGCTTCTCAGATCTTTGGTAAATGCTGTGGTCTGAACAAAATTCTAAATGTGTCTTAGTTTCAATAACTACAAGTATGAAGTGATGGTCTAAATCCGTGGTATCCAACCAGTTTTGAAGCCACTATAGTGGCTACTGCTGTAACGAATTGGCCACATTATTCAAGTCAACTAGCCACGCTCAACTGGCCAAATAGCCACATGTGACTAGTGGCTAGCATGTGGGACACCATGGGTCTAAATGATTTAGAGCGTTTGGAAACCTTTTCTGATAGACCACCTACGTATTCTTTGCTCATTTTAATCCTATTGTAAGGAACCAGGGCAGTGTCAGTCTAGCCTAGTGGTCACAACTGGACTGAAGTCTGTCCATCAGAGAGAGTAGTTTTGGGGCAGCAGTTGGAGGAATCCCAAGAGCTAGGTTCTGTAAGCAAGGGTCAGGCTGGGATCAGAGAGCTGCCATGCTCCCTGGCTGTATGTTGGCATGGTTTCCTGGTCTCTTTTCAAACGTCTTTGGTTTTTTTAAGTCTCCATTTGAAAATCTAATCTAATTCCACAACAGGTACCTTCCTTTAAATATATTTGGCCTTACGATATTTGCATTACCCTGCAGTGCACAGCTGTCCTGCTTTAAACAGAGCTCTGATTGATGATATTCCCCAGGTAGAAAAATGATCTCCACGCTAGCTCATTACCAGAATAAACAATTGCTTCAGAAATTTCTAGTGGCGTTTGAATACATTTATTTTGATATCTTCACAAAGATGTGTCTTTTTATTTCAGTTATGCCAAGGGAGATCTGGATATATCGTACATCACTTCCAGAATTGCTGGTATGAGAGCTTCATCTTTCTTAATCCATTGTGTTTAACTCTGCTTTTGTAAAAGTTTTTAATGCCTCAAACATTGGTGCTGTTCTGTTTTCAGTGATGTCCTTTCCAGCAGAAGGTGTAGAATCTGCCATCAAAAATAACATAGAAGATGTGCGATTATTTTTAGACTCTAAACACCCCGGAAACTATGCTGTTTACAATCTATCTCCAAGAACATACAGGTCTTCAAGATTTCATAATAGGGTGTGTATGAGTTTTTCTTGCATATTGATTTTTTCCCTTAGTAGGTGTTTCACCACAGTAAATTGAGTTGACCGCCCACCACTTCTTGTTACATGCTAAAATTGTCCTTAATATTTAGGATGCCTAACTAAAATCACAAATGAGCGATTACAAAAGTGACTGGTCTAATGGCAATATTGCTGCTGCCATGCTTTTACCACCAATTCAGACTTGCTGATTGGAAGGATTTAGCTGCTTATTGGAATGGTGTTAGCTTGGCTAGAGAAACATGTAGGCACCCAGAACCTCCCTCTGTATAGTAAATGAGGTTCTGGAACAAACCTGTGTTCTGCCTGTTTATAGAGGCTTGATTCCCTCCCTGCCTTAGGAGCTATTTGTGAGCGCTTCACTACTGGGATTTCACCTCTTTCCCCCTCCCCTTCCCCCCCTTTCACCTTCTCTTCCTTATTCTTGATGTCCATGTGGACCCAGCCCATGAATGTTTCCCTAGCTCAGGTGAGCAATCTAGCCAGGCCTCCCTTCCTGATGCTTCCTGAAATGGCAGGTGCAGCATAGCTCAGCCTGCCTTTTTTTTTTTATGAAATCTTTCCTGTCCTGCAGAACCTAGCAAGGGGAGGGGTGAGGACATAACCTACTCCATAACCGCATCTGGCCCGCCTGTGTCTTTGATCCAGCCCACATGGCCGTTGCCAGCATCGCTAGCGCGTTGCCTGGGGGCTGGAGATGTATACGTCCTTTTACCTGCTTCTATTTAAAGGGCTCACACCTTTCCTGTGCCAGTCAGGCAATGCGTTGCCTGGCAGCCACGGCGGGAAGGCGTGAGTCCTTTAAATAGAAGCAGGTAAAAGGACTCACATGTCCTGGCTCCCTGGCAAACACGCTAGCGGCGCCTGGAGCTGTGAGCCCTTTCAGCTGCTTCTATTTAAAGGGCTCGTGCCTGCTGGGCGGCTGCCAGGCAGCAGGTTAGCAGCAGGGCCAGGAGCTGCGATCCCTGTTGTGTGAATTCTAAGCCTCCACCCCAGACAACTGTGGGGGAGGAGGCTAGCCCCCAGCACCCTCCCCTCTGCTCCAGGTCCCTCCCGTTGGCCAGAACTCCGGGAGCAAGGACCCCAGGCCATGCCAAGCAAAGTGCCGATTAGGGTAGGATGGCCCCTTCCACCTGAAGTCGTGCCTCTTTTGAGTCAGCCCACAACAGCTTTCTAAATTGGTGAAGTGCCTCTCCCCTCTTTCTTCAAAAATTATTGCCCACACCTGGGACCAAAGATACTAGCTAGGGAGTCCCTAAAGTATCAGTTGACACTTCCTTCTTTCATTCTTGTCTCTCAACAAACCTGTGACTGGTTCAACTGCCAAATCTCAGGTTGACACGCCTCCAAATGGAAACATGAGGATTGGAATTTAGATGCGGAGGATGAGCTGTTGGCTTAAAGCTGCCTGGAGAATGACTAAGCCTGGAAGACTGAGGGATCCTGAGGGCCTTAGCCTAATTGTACACCCCAGAAACAGTGCTAATATCAGGTTATGATCCATAATGCATTTGGGACAGAAGAACCCTGAAAGTAAGAGCTTACTCAGCAACATGCCTTCACCACTAAAAAGTTTTATGGAGTTCCTTGAAATGTAGCACTCTCCCTAAAAAACCTGACCTTATCCAGATTTTCCAAGTCAGATCATATTTGCAACTTATGGAAATTCCGTTCCCTGGACAGAAAACTCAAGTCTTCCCATAAGCTGTCCGGTTCCTTAGACCCATTTAAAGTGTCTGTCGCCCAAGCAGTTAGATCCTGGCATGGGTGAAGACACAGTGGAAATTGGCAGATCCAAAGCCTTCGGTGGCCTGAAGTTTTAGTCCTTGTTGTTCACATATCGTGTCGGTGACTTGGTCCTTGCTTGTTCCATTGTGGTCAGAAGGTGACTGTGGGTCTGAACTTGTCAATGCTGTTGTCAAACCAATCCTGATTTGGCTCCCATCAAGGGCCAGAGGTATGTGGGGACAAATGCAAGGTTTCCTTCCCACACCTTAAATGTATCCTACACAGTAAGTTCTCTGTGTCACTGGAATCAGGAAGCTTTCCTTTTTCATATTTATTGAGCCTTACACACCAGGCTGCTGATGTCTCTGGACGTTACTAATGTAGGACACCCAAAGATCGTTTCTACACTTTAGAGTATAGCAACCATATGAGAAGCTAACAACATTCAAGAGATAAAGGCTCCCCTTTGAGATTCATTGTGGTGTTAAGGTCACAGAGGAATACAAGTTCACAACTTCAATACTTTGCTTGCTAGGCATTGCAAAGTGGATGCTTCCTCCTCTGGGGATACACTCAGCCTGGCAGGCAGCTAATTCTCAAACTCATTCTTAAACTCTTGCTCCTGTCCTTATCCACCAATACAAAACTATCTCTGAATTTTCTTGCCTTTTGTGTTGTTACGGTTGAAGTTAATGCTAGTTTTGGAATCTTCGCCTGGCTTGTTTTGAACCCCATTCTAATATAATAGCTTCTAGGTGCCCAGAACCTGCCTATGTCAGCAAAATTCTCTTCTGCCAACTTTTCCTGACCTGTGTTCGGGGTCTGAGTATTTTGAAGAGCAAATGTTCAGGCTTTGTCTGGAGCTCAGGGTCTGAGACCTCCTGATCTGGGTGGTCTCAGAGCCTACGGTCCAACCCGAGCTCAAACGTGTGCACTACAGTTTTATAGTCCCACAGCCCAAGCCAGCTGACGCAGGCTCCGACACAAGATGCAGTGGGGGGGTTTATTGTAACGTAGACTTAACCCCAGTACTTAAACAGACTCTTTGCCACTTGTCCCACCAGTCTGGGCAAGAAAATGTGCTATGATGAAGCAAAGTTCAATCCACTTCGTGAAAGTCTCATCAAGCTGTCACTGAGCGCACACAGTGATCTGAGATAAAATTACTTGAAATAGTTCCCCTGAACCGAATAAAGCATCTGACCATACTTTGCCCCATTTTGTGATAAGCCTGTTCTAAAATATAGTTAGACTATTCTTTACCTATGGAAGTTGGTGCATAACTTGTTGTAACTTGGAAAAAACCCTTTCAACAACTTCTCAGTTCAATTTTTTTTAATTGGGCAGAGACCAAGCATGAGAAACTTGATCTATAAAGTGAATGTTTCAGACTGTTGTGAGCTTATTATTATCAGTTGGAATGGAAGCTGTTTTGCATCATTATCTAATAGTGGCTCTTAGTTCTTAATGTTGTAGCTATTTATTTGTATTTCTGAGTATCTAGCGACCACTCTCAGGATAGAAGATCTTTTGGGCTGAACATTGTAAAGATCGTATTGTTTAAGTGAGATCTTATGTGAGACTGTTTCTGTTGAATTTGTTCTTGGATGTAATATTTGCTAATAGAACTGCCTATGCGGTGGTGTTACAGCTTGTGTAAGTGGTGTTGCAGTCATTTTTATTTTCTTACCCCATTCCTCAACCCAGGTTTCTGAATGTGGTTGGCCAGCAAGACGTTCACCAAATCTTCAAAACCTTTTCAGCATTTGCAAGAACATGCATTTATGGCTAAAGCAAGATCACAAAAAAGTTTGCATTGTGCACTGCCTTGTAAGTAGTAGGTACACTTGAAATTTTTCATCTAGTCCAGCTTTAGGTGTCAGTGGGTATCAATCAGTTCTTCTCAATCAATAACATTATTTTTACTGTCCAGAGGCAATTCTGTAGTGGTCTGTGTTTTTTTTAAAGAAAAGGAGTCTCTGTGGTAAAATAGTGTAATATACTACCTTTTTGCTTCCTGGGCATGTATCGGGGAAAAAAATAATTTACAAGAGGGAGAAAGGTAAAGTTGTGTGAATGAAGTTCTGCTTTCATCCTTTCCTGAAAATGTTCTTGCCTGCTGCCTCTGCAGTTTTGTCTGTGGCATTATTTACATACCAAGTGATGTACGTTTCCCCCCCCCACACACACACCCTTGCATCCATTTGTAATCAGTTTCTATCTTCAGTATAAGTTACATTTGCATTGTTACAGATTTTGACCCAGAGAGTTCCATGAAAATTGCCTCTGCTTGCTGCAATTACATATAGCCTTATTTTCTATAATGTAGAATTCATCTTGAAATATCCTAAAACAGTATTTCAGCCACGTATAGGTAGCCATCTCTGATACCAAGCATGAAAATAACGAAAACTGCATAGCAATGGTACACAATAGTTGAAGGCAAGAAGTGAGCTCTGTGTGTGTATCTATAAACATTCTCTAGCAGAAACCACTATACTGCATATGCTTAATGAGAGAATAAACACATGACAGATCTTAATCTTATTGCTTATTGAAGGAAGATGTTCATGTGTGTTAATGATGAGAGCCCAGTTTTAAGAACCTACCAAGAACAGAATAGGAGCACTGTCTCTAGCCAGAGCTAAAGGAAGAATTTTTAAACTGTTTACCTAAGCTGGGACTTTGCCAGAACAACTTTTGTAGACCATTTCCTTCAAGAAAAAAATATGAAAATGTTTAATGGTGACGTGTTTAGGAATTCAGTTTTCATCTAAGATGATACATCCACTACTGTAGTGCCTCTAAATATCATGTTAGGGGCACTATTTCAATCCTGACTCAGGAGTGGTATCTCTTGAGGTAACACCACACCTTGCAATAGTTGTTGGAGGTCTCCTTCTTCAGTTAATGTACATAATTGTGCCTTGTTTGAGTTGTGACATGGATGAAAGCTTGAGTGAGGTATGGCTGTAGGCCAGGCACTCCATACAATTCTGACATAAATTCTTCTACTTGACTAGAAATGAGCAGTACCTGCCATCTGCAGCTCTCTTAGAAGTTCCTCTGTTTAGAAACCAGGAAGACAAAAGACATTGCTGACCTGGTGGCTTGAATTAGAAGATGTACTACATGGTCCTGAAATGTCTTTTATGCAAAGAATTAGATTGGGTCTAAATGCTGTTCATAGTTCTGTTGCTGTTTCCCTGTAGAGGTGTAACAGCAGCAAGGAGCTGGAAAAACAAAATTAAGGATTGTCTTTTCCCACTTATATTTGTGCAAGGGCCGTGATGCTGTTTTGCATAATGTATGCCCTGCTACTTGAGAAGTAATTAGTCTTTATGTGGAGACCTCAAGTAAAGCTTTCTACCCTGCTTAAACAACATTGAACCGTCGGCTTTCTGGATTGAGGGGGACTATGAGATCTCTAGTAACACGTCCAAAGGCCCTAACTTTCCTGTAAAGCTGGTGCAGAAGCTGCCATAACAGTAAGGTTTTACTGCTGTTTTAACCCACAACAGTAAAGATTTATTAAACCGTGGTTCAAAAATCAGACATTCTCAGCCTAAATTACGGTCTAGTTCATAACTTGAAATAAAGGATATGAATGTCTTAACATTTTAAATTAGATTTAATAACTAGGTCACAATTTTTTATAGGATGGAAGAGCAGCATCTGCTGTTGTAGTTTGCTCTTTTTTATGTTTTTGCCGTCTCTTCACTACTGCGGAGGCTGCGGTTTACATGTTCAGTATGAAACGCTGTCCACCTGGCATTTGGCCTTCTCATAAAAGGTACAGTACCCATCTCTTCTCAAAGCGTTGTTGAGGCAAATCCGCATATAAACAGGCACTGTAAAAAGTAATTATCACATGGATTTGTAGGATGAAGGAGTTGATATAGGAACTAGTCAGGTGGGAAGATAAAATAAAAGTATTAACCAAAGGAGTCACCCATAGAGGTGGGTGAATTTTTGAAGTCAGCAATATTTTTTAATCTCTTACTCAGTAACTAGGATCACCTGTATAAACCAACATGATGCGAGCTGAAGTTGTAGAATTCTAGTGAAAATGGTCCTAAAAATTTCTCTGCAAAGCAAAGAATAATCTGTGTTCTCCAAAGTGGAAGAGACAAAAAATGCAGCTTGCTTGTTTGGGTGTAAGTTCCAGCTATCTGAACTCTCTTCCATCTTAGAGTCCAAATGATAACAAGTACTTATTTGCAGTCAATAAATTGCATATTTAAGAGGATATAGTCTATTATACAAAGAGTAAAAGTGTATATCTTTTTAGTCCATTGTATCATCTCTCTTGGCAACCGTAGATTAACTTGAGTTTTTCAAAAATAACAGGGTGTCGTATGGCATCTTAAAGACTAACAGATTTATTTGGGCATAAGGTTTCATGGGTAAAACCCACTTGATCAAATGCATTGGAGTGGAAGTTAGAGGCAGGGAAGCGAGTGTGTTTATATAGAGAAAGCTTTGTCATCCGCCACTCAGAGAGAACGGTGATTGCTAGTTAATGGATGCGCCACATAACAAAGAATCCATGTGCTTCCGTTCACCATTTGTACAATAAGGACATGAACACTTCCCAGAGGTGTGGACAGAGAAATGGTGTAAAGATTGAGGCACTCAACTAGTGTGCTGATGGGGTCCATAGAGGTATCTAAATTAGAGCAGTATGGGAATTTGTGCATAGATACAACTGTATTAACTCTCTGCTGACCATGGGCGAAGTGTTTTTAGACACACATTTTAGAACATCTTTTCCTTTGCTCTTTTGTGTTTCTTTCCACGCAAGGTTAGATAAAATGAAGCTTATGACTCCTAATGGGCTGTTAAATGCACTCCCTTGCGCTTGTAAATTACAAGCGTCATGCAGCACTATTGAAAAGAGTATTTATAATGACAAGGCAACTTGTGAATCATGCATTTCTAGGCTGTCTTTTCTGAATGAATCCCGTTTATTTTGACAGGTACATCGAGTACATGTGTGACATGATGGCAGAAGAGCCCATTATTCCTCACAGCAAGCCAATCCTGATCAAATCCATTATCATGACACCAGTTCCTCTGTTCAGCAAGCTGCGTAACGGCTGCCGGCCTTTTTGTGAAGTGTACGTTGGGGACGAAAGAGTGACCACTACCTCACAGGAATATGACAAAATGAAGTAAGTGCAGCTTGTAACTTGTTTCCTAAATTATAAGTTTTAACTTTCTCTCTCCCCCCCCCCAGAACGGATTTAATATTAAAAGCAGACCAGTGTAGTGAATACACCTTTCACAGAAACTCAGCACTGAAAAGGAGGATAGGTGTAGTCTGCCTTTACTTTGGGGGTTGTTGATGGCAGACATGGAGATATGCTACCCAACTTCTGGCTGTAAGCCCTAATTCCATCCACAGTCTCAGAGCAGTGGACAGTTAGTATTCAGGCTTGCATTTAAACCAGTATTATGTGTTCTGGGGGCGCTTGATTAGAACCCACTGTAAGGTTGTGCCTAGTGAAATTCTGCTTACCATTTTAAAACTTGGCTATTTAAAATGAAAGGCTCGGGAACTCACAGCAGAGATCAGCAACTTGTTCTCAGCTCAGGGAATAAAAGCAG